AAACAATGGAAAATATTAAGCTATTTGATATAAACATAACAGACGCTATCAAATATAGCTCTTTTGAAATGTGTTCTGCAATTAACTAATAATAAGATGAACAATGCTTCACACAGATGAGTGTGAATTTTATCCTAATTTTGCTTTAACTTGGCCTTTTGGTTCATTTGTATTTTTTAAATCGATTTACGAGATTTGAACATCGGTAAACTACAATCGCCTTAATTGTTCATGAAAAGGAGACCTTCAACACTGAATATACCTCTAATTTGTCATAATTCACGTACTCCATAAATAGTACAAATTAAATTGCATAGTTTTCAGTGTTAATACATTTTATCTCAGGAAATCCCCAAGTGAAACATTTCGGCCATTATGCGACAACAAATGCAAATATTTCAGTAAAAAAATATTTTTGTCGAGTAGTTGGTTCTGTTGTTTACACTTGAATCAATGATTATTTAAAGTGAAAACAAAAAAGAACTAGAGTTTGGTGTGTAATATACAATATACATGTAACTAATATTGGATTCCTAGAATTAAGTTTTATATCATTTGAACTATCGTTATGACTAATGTTTGTCTTTCCTTCTTTTTCTTTTTTCATCAATTTGACCATTGTGATTTTTGCTTACTTCATTTTTTTTAAAGTTTATGCATTTAGAGACTCTACTTATTGCAAAGCGTGAAAATAATAATTTTGGTTTGAAAATAGTGAATCAATGATACATTTAACCATAAAATAACATTAGCTAAGACATAGTCATTTCAGTTTCTTTATAATCAAAACGTTTTAAAGAATTAATTTGTGTGGTAATTCTGTTTTCCTTTTCATGTATGTTTAACTGGTTTTAACATGCAAAATCAGCGGTTGCGAGCATGTCAAATTTAATTTAAAACACTCATTAAACCTGTGTACGAACATTTTATTTTCTTTACCTTTTGTTATTTTTATAATTCACGCTAACCCTTCTAAAAAAATTGACAGTAAAATTAGTTTGAGAAATAAAGTCAATGCAACAACCTATATAAATAAGAAGACAAAAAATGCCCTTATACATGACAATAGTAACATCGATGGTATTCGTTTTTGTGTCAATCTAGAAAAGTCTCCTAGAAAAAAAGGAATCGTCTGGATTTTCCACATTATAGATACCTCTTCGTTAATGATATTTGTCTCTTAAATAGGTACAAACTTACGAAATTACTATCTTTTTTCGTGTAACATTACTGCGTTTAAAATATTCCTCTTTTAAATAGTATGTAAATGGTTCTAACGGTGTGTTACTTCCTTGCTTCCAACAAATATAGTCTGTTTATAATAATCTACTAAATAATGTGAAGATCTATGTTCTAGTCTTTTTATTTTTCATATTTCTTTTCGAATACCTCTTTCGTCCTTTTCTTCCTCTCTTCTGTTTTTTATTTCTATTTTTTTTTATTCCTTTGCCAATTATGGGTAAACGCTTGATTTTTCTCAACGTTCTTTGTAATTGTGTAGTCAAAGTCTTCACGTTTTGTAATTCTGTTATTTGCTGTTCTAACTTCGTTACTCTACTTCGTAAGAAAACGAATTCTTTGTATGTTAAAGTAATATTTTTACCTGCAAGCATAAATGCACATAAAGAATTACATTGAAGAATGCACAATTTTGCAACAATGTATCACTTCACAGACAAACATAAATTGATTATTGTATTTTCTAATCAGCTAGAAACCAAAAACACAATATATCCAAACATCGACGATTAATGGTTGATATACAACAAACCACCAAAACGGACACAAGCTCAGACTTCCTGTGATTCGGTAGGATAGCTGAATAGGTTATATAACTCATATTCCATGCTGGAAACATTTTATGTCGATGGCAATGAAGTATAATAGCAAGAAATAATATACCACAAACCAAATAAATTACAAGTGTTTTACACTTTTCCGTCGGTGTGTGGTATATCATATATTGTTATTATTCTTCGTTGCAATCGTTTCCACGTGCCAACAACCACAATAAGTAAATATATACTTATATGGCGAAAAATCAAAAGTCGCAGACGGACAATCATACCATTACAAAGACAAATAAACTGCTTCGCTGAGCGCAGCTGGATACGCCCGCAGAGGTCTAACCCTGAACAGTTGGGGCAAAAATGGACACAATATTCAAGCTTGATACAGGTCTGAATTTGGATTGTAATTATATATTTGACATACATCTATTATAGGTTTCTGAATAAATGTAGTCAAAGATCTTGAAGTTGGTTATATGAATTGAATTTATATTCAATTAAAGATTTCTTGCTGTTGTGCAATACACTGTGCTGTTGCGCAATACTTAGTAAATCTGTTGTCAGACTTTAAACAAATAAAATTTATAAAATTCTAAAGGGAGCTTACACCAATAGATATAAACAGTTTACAAAAGTTTCATACGAATTGCTGAAAGCATTTTTGAGTTTTTGTCTGAAAACTGGAAAATCCCCCCTTTTTTAATGAATAAACCCCATAATTCGGAAATGTAAAATCTAAAATTTATAAAATTCTAAAGGAAGCTTACATCAATAGATATCAACAATTCATCAAAGTTTCATGAGAACTGCTGAAAGCATTTTTGAGTTATTGTCCGAAAACTGGAAAATCCCCCTTTTTTTATGAATAAAACCCAATAACTCGGAAACTTAAAATCTAAAATTTATAAAAAACGAAAGGGAGCTCACGTCAATAGATATAAACAATTCATCAAAGTTTTAAGCAAAATTGGTTAAAGCGTTTTTGAGTTAATGTCCGACATGTTGACGACGGACGGACGGACAGACGGACAGACGGACGTACAACGGTATACCATAATACGTCCCGTAAACGGACGTATAAAAAGGACAAACAACTGTTCACTAAACACTTTACTGAAAACTTAAGTTTGGGCAACACTAACCAACCAACCCAAGAAATGACTTAATTAAGAGCTCAAAATGAGGAAGAAGTTCTGGCTATTCTAGTAATTGCATTTGAATTAGTTATGACAATATAAAAAAAGGTGTGATATGTTGCATTCGGAAATATTTCACAACAGAAAGTAGACAGGACCTGGACAACGACAATTGCAACATATATATATATATGGATATATATTACAGGAATCTTCAATTACGATGAACAAAGTCATCATCATGACAATGCATGTTGTAAAAAGTTAGAAAAATTGCTTCATCTTTCTCAATAAGAACTTTTGGTTCAGTAGCTTCCTGATAGGAATCAAAACCTTTGAAATAATTAGGTGCTTCTGAAATGGTATATTGACTATATAGAACAAATCCCAAGACTCTTAAAGTCGATTTCGAGGCACAAGTCAATGTTTGAGATAATCTTTTCTGAGCCTGTGGTGTCCATTATTTAAAGTTAATTTTATATTTAACAGATGCGATTAACATTATTATCGATTTTTGGAGGAGTTTTGAAAAGGACATCATCTGAGATAGAACTAGCGTCTATTTGTGCTTCTTCAGGTGTTCAAGTAAAATGTTTCCCTCATATTGAAAACTTTTTAGAAAAAGGCGAGGAAAATAGCCCAGATGGTTCATGAATTCCGAAAGTAAGTAAAAAACATTCCCACAAACAATATGATCTATTCAGAATAATCAATCATCTTGCCCTTGTCAGTTTGTGTGATTTTTAAGTATTATTTCTTAATTCCAAAAACAAGATATTTGTATATTCGTTGGCCTGGGCAATCTTTTTTACACGAGACTGTTTGATCTTTCCTGATCTTTTTTTAAATTAAAAATTATGAATAAGTTTGATGTTTATGATGAAGAGGTTGGAATTTTTTTAATATCATTGCATTATGGGATTTTTTAATGTTTGTTCTTAATCTATCTTTGAATTTTATTCCAAATACATTATCATTAAATTCACACCGCCAATTATTTAGACCCTTAATTAGTTTGTTTCACAGCTAATCTGAAACCGCCTTTATCGATATCATAGAGACAAAAATAGTAACGGATAAATGCAAATAAGATCTACAATGTCTAAGTTACTGGACTTAATACTATAATTATCTAGTAAAAAATCAAAAATATTTTAATTTCAGCCACTGAGATTTATATGTTTATATAATTCAAATACTTGTATGTATATAACATACATAAATAATCGATTTGTAAATTTATATTGTTTGTGTTTTGAAATATTTACGCTTACAATAATAATATTCAAATTCTCTCATTATATATATATTATTTTTTTATTCAAGTGAAACGTGTCTTTGAATAGTATACTGCAAGCTATATTCATTAACAAATATCTAACATTGTTCGATAAATCTCAACCGATTTCTTTGGTCCTCTTTTCGTTTTTATTGTTCAATATTAGATCCATCTTTTTCATATCACCTTAAACAAAATTTCTTTCGTTACGTCCATAATATGAACAAGAAACGATTCGTTGCCATCGATCTTTATTTGGTCACATATAAATAAAGTCTAAATATATTTAACAGAGCAGTTTGCTTGGTATTAAATAGTTAATCGAAACCTACTTACTTTACACTGGTCAGAAGCATAAAATCGTCCTTAACAGCAATGTGTGCATCAGTAGAAGTGTTCGACCGTTCAAAATTTCGCGAATCAACATATTCAAAGACAACATTTACCTCAAGTCATTTATAAAGTTTAACTATCAGTATAAACCTGCTAAATTTATATTTTCAGCTTCAAAACCAAAACGGATATACATTGTTTTACACTAGTCATTTTGGGGCCCTTTATAGCTTGCTGTTCGGTGTCAGCCAAGGCTCCGTTTTGAAGGCCGTACTTTGACCTATAATTGTTTACTTTTTACACATTGTGACTTGGATGGTGGGTTGTCTCATTGGCACTCATACCACATCTTCTTATTTCTATATATTACTTTGTATCACTGCAATTTCGGAGAGAACTTATATTCCAGAATCGACATCAATATTCAATGATGCAGAAGAACAAAGCTGTCAGCAATTTTACCTTCATTTTCTGTTGACTGCTCTAGAGGTTTGACATCTTGCAAAAAAAACTTCTTCTTTGCCCTACAAGATATGTCTTCAGTTGTAGACCCGTTATCAGCAACTTCTTGAGACTCAAAACACCTTAAAAACACAAACTATATTGTTTTAAGAACTTGAACATACATCTGTACAAAATATGAATCCTATGAAAAAATGAATATGTATTTTTGAAATTTTACGGAATTTGAAAATGAATTTGCTAATGCTACACTTTTCAAGGACTTCAAATAAGCATTTATTACAAGTTTAACTTCGCTCCTCACATCAAAGTATATATATTAACTGAAACGATAATTCAGATATCCATAAAAGGGTAATTATCTAATTACCGAATTGTGAATTTAAATTTTAAATAATGAAAAAGCCTTTCCGAGTACCTGAGTTAATCTAAAGTGTTGGCGGGTCTTTATTTTTCAATGAAATGTTTTGTTTGTGTTTTCGTGGTTTTCACTTTTGGTCATGGTATTGTTATTTTTATTGGACTTTTCGAATGCATGTTGTTATCTTTTCTCCATTTCCCGCCTTATGTCAAAACAATTAAAGAAATAATGATTGTATATCACCGACAGAAAATCAGCATGAGGCTTTTGGGCAACTGAGCGCAGAAACCCAGTAGAATAGGTCCGTATTTTGTGTAGTGCAAAGAGAAAACAACGGATTCCATAAATAAGCTATAAATGTAGAAACATGCTTTTTAAATTGAAATAAATGGTTACAAGCTATCATTTTAAATTGTTCGTTGATTTAAGTTATATATACACATAATTATTATTGAATACTTGCTCTGTTTTCTTTCTACATATGTGTTCGTCGCTAGCTTCCGGTTTGAAAAAGCCTTCAGCACATGGTCCACATTGCCCTACATTAAAAACAACATCAATTATTACAATTAAACTATGAAAGGCATAAACCTTTAAACAATTTTCAATCATATATATAACTTTAATTGTTGACCTCTAACGTGGAACGTCTGCACGCACAAGAATTCTTAGAAGTTAGAAAAGGTGCAGTAGAGAACCAATGGCACTTCAGACTTCTAAATTCTTAACGCTAAGACTGAAGTGTGTTTGAGTGACTTAGTCAATCAAAAGAACTCAAAATATGATTTTAGTTATAGTATTATCCCGGGCATACCACAGATAAGAACAATTACATACGGTCAGAGATCATTCAGATATGCAGCCGCTTCGCTTCACTCTGGAATAGCTTGCCAAATTATTTTAGAACAGATTTTTTTATTATTCATTTTAAGAGTTTGCTTCAGCCCTGTAACGGTTGGAACTGCCGTTGCGCGACTCTGCTCATTTTTGCTTTCTTGTCACAGTGTTCAATCTGGTTTCTCTGTGCATAGTTAGTTAAGCGGGGACTTAGAGAGGTGATTGCTACATGAGTTCCCGCTTGGATATATATTCAGCTCACCGAAGTTTACAAATTTGTGGTTTGTCTTCGTTAGATAAATTTTAATGTTTTGCTTTATTGCTTATGCTTCATTTTATTTAGTTATCACACAAATCTTCAATTTGAGATTTTTCATTATGTTTAAAGTGGCTGCTCGTAATCTTATTTTTTAATGCTATTCAATTAACTTATCTCCTTATAAATATCACGATTTGTACCTATATTTTCAATTTTCTTAGTGCTTATTCCTAATTTTTTTGGAAGATACAGTCATGATACTTCAAATTTGCTTAAACATGTTAAACAAAGTCTTTCACATGTAAATGCCAAATTTTGTGTATGTTTTGCATGTTGTTATCATTGTTTTCCTGTTATGTATTTGTTTTTATATTCCGTTAAAAGCTGTTTCGAGCTTGTGTTGTATAGTTTTATAAATGCCGAATCAAAATAAAAATTGTCTTATCCTATCTTAAAAACAATGTAGGTTTTTAAGACATATTGAAACAATAGCATATGTTTTGATGAGTTATAAAAAAAACTAATAAGTCTAGATAGTCACGAAAGAATAAAGTTTGTTTGTTTTGGGTTGTATATTCATGATAATACATTGCTATATATCTTTCCTGTAACACGTTGGTCTTCACCTGAATCTTGTATAAGTCTTTTATACTTTATACTTTTAATTTACCGTCATTTTTAAGTTCAAATCCCGGACTGGAACAGGAAACTTCTGTTAGTAAGCAGTTATTATAATCACTTCCATAGTAACCAAGCCTTCTATCGCAGACACATGCATCTTTCTCTAACATAACTTCAGCTTTAAAAATAAAGATTATTAATTAAGAGGCCATGTTAATAAAGGTAGCTGTTTGTATGGTGGTTAAGTATTAAAACAGCTTCATTTGACATTTCCAATTATATAAGTGTTAAAGTATATTCATAAAAGTTAGTATATGCGATAAAAAAGAAATGCATGTTCATCAAACTCCTCATTTTTTGTAGGCTTTTAATTTATTACGCCGGACGCACGTTTCATCTTCACAAGACAAATCCGTGGTGGTTGAATCAAAACTTTTCGAAGGCCAAATACAAAACAAAGTTAAGACTAAATATGATTGATTCAAATAATCCAAAATGTATCCAACAAAAAAACAAGACGTCGTTCTAAGTAAACAGCTTGTTAAGGTACCGTTGAAATAAAAAGTAACAACTATTCAACTTAGCATAAGTACTTTTTACAATTCAATACTGACATTTAACTGTAACTTTTAAAAATTTTATACATAACGTAGTCATTATCAAAAAGATATATTTAAATATCATTTCTACAAATATCGAGTTCATTACCAAATAAATGGGGAATGTGTCTATGGGACACAGATGATGCCGCCGCTTGCATATAACGTTATAAAGAGATATATAACTCAAGAACGGTAAAAGTGACGCTACCCAAATTCGTACTTGATCTTGGTTTTGTGGTAATAAGCATTGTATATAAGTTTCATAACATTTGGTTGAGGCAAACTTAAGTTAGAGAACGGAAATGAAAAATTCAGCATTTTTTTCCTTTTGTAAAGAGGCATAACTCTAGAAATGTAAAAGTAACGCCACTTAAATTCAAACTTGATCTGCGTTTTGTGGTAATAAGCATTGTGTATAAGTTTCATAACCTTTGGTTGAAGCAATCTAAAGTTAGAGAAGAGAAACCAATTTCAGGACGTTCGGACGTACGGACGGACGTACAGAAGGACGTACAGATGGACAAGGGTAAAACTAATACCGCCTCCGCTACGGCAGGGGCATAAAAAGATGTTCCATGTTCAATTGTGACAAAAATTAATTTAAGGAAAATTTGCTACATTGAATATTTTTTACAATTGAATTAATTTCATTGTTTAAGTGGTAAGCAACAATAAATTGCATATACAAAGTAACAGGAGCTTTTAATTTAGAGATTGTCGATGGCTTCTGTCTGTCATATTTGTGTTTTCGTCAATTGACATGTTATGCAAACTCATCAAATATACCAATATTATAATTTGGTACGCCAGATGCACGTTTCTTCTACATGAGACTCATCAGTGGCGCTGGAATCAAAACAGTTGAAATAAAATGCTCCGCAGGGCGCAGCTTGATACGACCGCAGAGGTCGAAGCCTGAACAGTTGGGGCAAGTATGGACACAACATTCAAGCTTGATACAGCTTTGCATTTGGATTGTGATTAAATATTTGACACAGCATAGGTTTCTGACACAGAATGAATGTGGTCTAAGAACTTAAAAATTTTAAATTGGACATTCACCTATTATGGTCCAATATCCAAAATCTAAATACATGGTTAGATTCAGCATATCAAAGAACCCCAAGAATTCAATTTTTGATGAAATCAAACAAAGTTTAATTTTGGACCCTTTTGACCTCAATGTGGACAAAGTTGATAACGGGGCCCAAAAATCAAAAATCTAAATACATGGTTAGATTCAGCATATCAAAGAACCCCATATATTCAATTTTTGTTGAAATCAAACAAAGTTTAATTTTGGACCCCGATTTGGACCAACTTGAAAACTGGGCCCATAATCAAAAATCTAAACACATGTTTAGATTCAGCATATCAAAGAACCCTAAGAATTCAATTTTTGTTAAAATCAAACTAAGTTTAATTTTGGACCCTTTGGACCTTAATGTAGACCAATTTGAAAACGGAACCTTCAACCAAAAATTAAGAATCTAAATACACTGTTAGATTCGGCATATCAAAGAACCCAAATAATTCAATTTTTGATGAAATCAAACAAAGTTTAATTTTGGACCCTTTGGACCTCAATGTGGACCAATTTAAAAACGGGGCCCAAAATCCAATAAAATGCTCCGCTGGGGCGCAGCTTGATACGACCGCAGAGGTCGAACCCTGAACAGTTGGGGCAAGTATGGACACAACATTCAAGCTTGATACAGCACTGAATTTGGATTGTAATTAAATATTTGACACAGCATAGGTTTCTGACACAGAATGAAAGTGGTCTAAGAACTTAAAATAAAATGCTCCGCAGGGCGCAGCTTGATACGACCGCAGAGGTCGAACCCTGAACAGTTGGGGCAAGTATGGACACAACATTCAAGCTTGATACAGCTTTACATTTGGATTGTGATTAAATATTTGACACAGCATAGGTTTCTGACACAGAATGAATGTGGTCTAAGAACTTAAAAATTTTAAATTGGACATTCACCTATTATGGTCCAATATCCAAAATCTAAATACACGGTTAGATTCGGCATATCAAAGAACCCCAATAATTCAATTTTTGATAAAATCAAACAAAGTTTAATTTTGGACCCTTTGGACCTCAATGTGGACCAATTTAAAAACGGGGCCCAAAATCCAAAAACTAAATACACGGTTAGATTCAGCATATTAAAGAACCCCAAGAATTCAAGAATAAAACCCCATTGAAATTGGTCAAGAAATAAGCAATTTATACTAAGTATCTTCTTTTGCACAATACTGTGCAATTGAATATTTCTAGCTATTGCGCAATACTTTACAATTGACAATTTCTTGCTATTGCGCAATATTGTGCTATTGGATATTTCTTGCTATTGCGCAATACTGTGCAATTGAAGATTTCTTGCTATTGCGCAATACTGTGCAATTGAAGATTTCTTGCTATTGTGCAATACTGTGCAATTGAAAATTTCTTGCTATTGCGCAATACTTATTATATAATAATTTACACATCCTGTTTGGTGTGTATCTCCTACCATATCATTATTATTTGCTTTTAAATATAAATCAGAAATAACCAACTTAAAATGGAAAATTTTAAAAGAAAAAAAAAGGAAAAAAAGAAAAAAAAAGGAAAAAAAAAAATCCCCCCCCCAAATTTTTTGAACCCCCTTATGATTCATCACCCCCAAACTCAATCCCAGCCTTCCCTTTGTGGTATGGTACCTTGCAGTACAATTTCAGAGAGATCCATACACTTGAACACAAGTTAGTGTCTGGAAACTAGAAAAATGCTTATTTTTGGCCCCTTTTTGGCCCCCAAGACCTAAACGTTTCAGCAATTACCCCCAAACTCAATTCCAGCTTTTCCTTTGTGATATGGAACCTTGTAGTACAATTTCAGAAAGATCCATGCACTTACACACAAGTTATTGTCATGAAACTAGAAAAATGCTTGTTTTTTTGCCCCTTTTTTTGCCCCTAATTCCTAATATTTTGAGGCAATTATCCCCAAAATCAATCCCAGCATTCCTTTTGTGATATGGAACCTTGTGGTACAATGTCAGAGAGATCCATACACTAACACACAAGTTATGTCTGGAAGTTACAAAAATGCTTATTTTTGGCCCCTTTTTGGCCCCTCATTCCTTTACTGTTGATACCATAACCCCCAAAATCAATCCCAACCTTCCTTATGTGGTATTGAACCTTGTGGTAAAATTTCATAGAGATCCATTCACTTAAACTAAAGTTAGAGTGCGAAAACCAATGTGTCTTCGGACGACGCCGGACGACGCCAGACGACGACGACGACGACGACGACGACGACGACGACGACGACGACGCCAACGTCATACCAATATACGACCACAAAATTTTTTTTGCGGTCGTATAAAAATTTTATTTATCTATTCAAACCATATCATTATTATTTACTTTTATATATAAATCAGAAATAACCAATTTAAAATGGTAAATTTTAAAGAAAAAAAAGGAAAAAAAAATCCCCCCCAATTTTTTTGAACCCCCTTATGATTCATCACCCCCAAACTCAATCCCAGCCTTCCCTTTGTGGTATGGTACCTTGCAGCACAATTTCAGAGAGATCCGTGCACTTGAACACAAGTTATTGTCTGGAAACTAGAAAAATGCTTGTTTTTTTGCCCCTTTTTGGCCCGAAATTCCTAAACGTTTAGGGCAATTACCCACAAACTCAAACCCAGCTTTCCCTTTGTGATATGGAACCTTGCAGTACAATTTCATAAAGATCCTTACACTTAAACACAAGTTATTGTCCTGAAACTAGAAAAATGCTTGTTTTTTGCCCTTTTAGGGCCCCTAATTACTAAAATTTTGAGGCAATTACCCCCAAAATCAATCCCAGCCTTCTCTTTGTGGTATGGTACCTTGCAGTACAATTTCAGAGAGATCCATACACTTGAACACAAGTAATTGTCTGGAAACTAGAAAAATGATTATTTTTGGCCCCTTTTTGGCCCTAATTCCTAAACTTTTTGGGCAACTACCCCGAAACTCAATTCCAGCTTTTCCTGTGTGATATGGAACCTTGTAGTACAATTTCATAAAGATCCATACACTTACACACAAGTTATTGTCCTGAAACTAGAAAAATGATTGTTTTTTTGTCCTTTTATGGCCCCTAATTACTTAAATTTTGAGGGAATTACCCCCAAAATAAATCCCAGCCTTCCCTTTGTGGTATGGTACCTTGCAGCACAATTTCAGAGAGATCCATGCACTTGAACACAAGTTATTGTCTGGAAACTTTAAAAATGCTTGTTTTTTGGCCCCTTTTTGGCCCCAAATTCCTAAACGTTTAGGGCAATTACCCACAAACTCAAACCCAGCTTTCCCTTTGTGATATGGAACCTTGCAGTACAATTTCATAAAGATCCTTACACTTAAACACAAGTTATTGTCCTGAAACTAGAAAAATGCTTGTTTTTTTGCTCTTTTATGGCCCCTTATTACTAAAAATTTTAGGCAATTAACCCCAAATTCAATCCCAGCCTTCTCTTTGTGGTATGGTACCTTGCAGTACAATTTCAGAGAGATCCATACACTTGAACACAAGTTATTGTCTGGAAACTAGAAAAATGCTTATTTTTGGCCCCTTTTTGGCCCTAATTCCTAAACTTTTTGGGCAACTACCCTGAAACTCAATTCCAGCTTTCCCTGTGTGATATGGAACCTTGTAGTACAATTTCATAAAGATCCATACACTTACACACAAGTTATTGTCCTGAAACTTGAAAAATGCTTGTTTTTTTTTCCTTTTATGGCCCCTAATTACTTAAATTTTGAGGGAATTACCCCCAAAATCAATCCCAGCCTTTCCTTTGTGGTATGGTACCTTGTAGTACAATTTCAGAGAGATCCATACACTTGAACACAAGTTATTGTCTGGAAACTAGAAAAATACTTGTTTTTTGGCCCCTTTTTGGCCCTAAATTCCTAAACGTTTAGGACAATTACCCACAAACTCAAACCCAGCTTTCCCTTTGTAATATGGAACCTTGCAGTACAATTTCATAAAGATCCATACACTTACACACAAGTTATTGTCCTGAAACTAGTAAATTTGCTTCTTTTTTTGTCCTTTTATGGCCCCTAATTACTTAAATTTTGAGGGAATTACCCCCATCATCAATCCCAGCCTTCCCTTTGTGGTATGGTACCTTGCAGTACAATTTCAGAGAGATCCATACACTTGAACACAAGTTATTGTCTGGAAACTAGAAAAATGCTTATTTTTGGCCCCTTTTTGGCCCCCAATTCCTAAACGTTTCGGCAATTACCCCCAAACTCAATTCCAGCTTTCCCTTTGTGATATGGAACCTTGTAGTGCAATTTCAGAAAGATCCATACACTAACACACAAGTTATTGTCATGAAACTAGAAAAATGCTTGTTTTTTGCCCCTTTTTTTGGCCCCTAATTCCTAAAATTTTGAGGCAATTACCCCCAAAATCAATCCCAGCATTCCTTTTGTGATATGGAGACTTGTGGTACAATGTCAGAGAGATCCATACACTAACACAAGTTATGTCTGGAAGTTACAAAAATGCTTATGTTTGGCCCCTTTTTGGCCCCTAATTCCTTTACTGTTGGTACCATAACCTTCAAAATCAATCCCAACCTTCCTTTTGTGGTATTGAACCTTGTGGTAAAATTTCATAGAGATCCATTCACTTAAACTAAAGTTAGAGTGCGAAAACCAATGTGTCTTTGGACGACGCAAGACGACGACGACAACGACGACGACGACGACGACGACGACGACGCCAACGTCATACCAATATACGACCACAAAAATTTTTTTGCGGTCGTATAAAAAATCGGACCATTGGTTTTCTCGTTTGAACATGTTTGGTCAAATCGGGGATTTTGATAGCTAACTTTACGGTATTCTTATTTCTCATTGTTGTGGGCCGCAAGTTGACATAAAGTTGTTTACATTCCCGCCATTTTGGACCCTGATAGATAATCATTCAACATCTCTTTGTTATTTTAACAACACACTTTGTAAGAATATAGATGTAAATCACTTCAGCTAAAGTGTTAAAGAATTAAATTAGTAGTTTAAGCTAGAAACTTTTGACTTACGCTGCTCACATGTAGGTTTCGGTATACATGGATCTATGATATTGGTCATTTCAGCAGTATTGATTATGTCTAAATGGTATGTGTCTTCTGGACAGTTCCTACAGGTATCGTGACCATGGTGGTAATCACAAAAATCATATTTCTGAGCTGAAAAAGATAGATGTAGTAATTTTAAGTAATTTTTAGAAATAAGATATCATTTTAATCATCTCACCTAGCAGGACACAGAAAAATCCATTAAAAGTGGAAGCAGAGGGGAAACAATTCATATTAAGGAAGCACTCCACAGTTAGATGTGTAGTTTCGCATTTTGCCCCCGGTGGATTTTTCAAATATGAAAGCTATTGTGCAATAAAATTCATTTTTGGATAGCTGAAGATTAATATAGCCATCATAGTTGGTTTATATGAACATCAAGATTGTGTAATGTATGCATTATTGGCTGTTTTCTATAAGACAATCCGTATTTTCCTATACATAATAGACATTGGTCCACAAATTATTGTAATGTTTTTTTTTCCAGTTTTTTTTGTCGCACGAACTTTTTGATTCAATTTTACGAAAATATGAAGCGATATACTCTAATTTTTTTTATGTTCATTTGGTACATATATATATATATATAGATTTATAAAAGAACAAAGTTCCAATGTCCCCGCGTTGCACATATTTTATCTATCCAAGGTACAAGGGCAATAATTTAAAAAAAACTTGTTTTTTTCTTTAAACCTTTTTATTAATATCTTAGAGAAATGAAGGCTTCAGAGCAAATGCAATGTGATATATAATTAATATTTCCAAGGGTCATAACTCGATAAAAATATTTAATCAGAACTTATTTTCGAAAGTGTCAAATACATTGCTGATATAAACCTATGATATAAGTTTCATAAAATTCTGGCAACATATGAGAGTGCTAACAATGCAGTTTTCCATATAATCAATATTTCCAAGGAGCATAACTCTTTTCAAAATAATTGATCTGCACTGATTTTTGAACTCGTTAAAGACCCTGATGATATAAACCTATGATATAAATTTCATACAAATCTATGAATTCAAGCACGAAGAAAAAAGTGTTGAAAACTGATTTGCCGGACTGATGGATGGACAGACGGACGGAGTGCAAACCTAAAGTCTCCCTCGACTTTGTCGGTAGGGGACTAATAAATGCAGAATGTTCCCATAGATACACAAAAAAAGGAATTATATTTCACAATAACTGTGGAGGGTTACCTTAGAGCTGCTGTTCTTTTTCATGTAAATTCCGCACTATAGTTCCAAAAGTCTTAAAAATAAAGCGACCGATTATTTGTTTTAATGTTAATTAATATAGAATTTATCATTGCATTCTATAATACTAAAATAAATACTTGTATTCAATTTGCAATAAAACACAGTCTAAATTTTTAAAAAAAACATGTGAAAAAGACAAACCTTGCTGGCATATAACTGTGTTACAACATATAAAATTCCCAGAAAATGACTGTCTCATGACCTGTCCTGCACCACAAACTTTCGGGGAACAATTTATAATCTAAAAAATAAATTTGAAATGTCATCTTTTATCTCAATGAATCAAATCAGATCAAATTGTGAAAATGATAGCTTTTCATCCAATGTAAGACAATCATCGGTTTTTTAAACTTTTCCAAAACGTAGATAATGTCAATATCTGCATGAAGCTTTGGTCACGTTTTCAATTAGAAATAAACTAACCATAGATACCAGGGTTCAAATTTAGTTGGCCATACGCGTGTTTTGTCTACAAAAAGACTCATCAGTGACGTTCGAATCAAAAAAGTTAAAAAGGCAAAATAAAGTACGAAGTTGAAGAGCATTGAGGACCAAAACTTTCCAAAGGTTTTGCCAAATACAGCTAAGGTAATCTATTACTGGGGAAGAATATCCTTAGTATTTCGAAGATACCAAGTTTTGTAAACATTTAAAATCAACACAGAAGTGCTAACTATTGGGCTGGTGATATCCTCGGGGAAGGACCTCCACCTGCAGTGGCATCGACCAAGTGTTTGTAAATAAAATAAGATAGATAACAGGATTAAAGTTTAGTTCGCCAGACGCGTCTTTCGTAAAAGTAAATTTAAAAATGTTGAATAATTGCTGCTTAATCTTCATTTTGATAATATTGGTATAGGGGCAATAACTCCTATAAGGAGTCAATTTATGGTTCAGTCATTTTGGCATATTATAGATTTTATTCTGCTTATGATTTTTAAGTCAGTCAATCCGTTCATTCGTAATACACCGAGTAAAGTTTATTGAAATAGTTGTCTAGCAGTTAACAACAGCAATGTACATTGAAAGAAATCGATCTATAGAACTTTTTGACATTTATTCCAATCCAGGTTCTGAAATGACACATTTTTTTTATTCGAAAATCAGCTAAAGCTAACTGGTGCTCTGTTTAAACAATGTTTTGTGCAAAAAAACTTTATTATAGAGATATGTTTAAACCATCGTAAACTCTTCAAATACAGCATTTTTATGACTTCTTTAAAAAGTAATATCAAAATTTCAAAATGTACCATTTCGAACTTTTCCCTTTATCAGTTCGTTACCAATGCCCTTTGTTTTGCCAGAACTTGACCCCAACAGGGAGTTGTCTAAGTTTTTTTTTTCAGGTTTGGAATAATCTTTGAAAAGCTTGTTAATTCATGTGCTGTTAACAAGCACTCGAAGAATCGTACCCATCCTCTTATTATTTTCTGTGTTACAGATATTTCCAATTAAATTGCTTAAATAATTTTTTTATTTTTCTTTATTTTTACCTGTTTTTTTTTTTTTTACTTCATATGCGCCTCTCCTCTACACTTATTTTTCAAATTTTAACCGGAAGGAACATATTTAATTTTTTCATGTATATGTTAGACAGCAATCGAGATTATTCCAATTCTATATTTTATTTCCCAATAAAACGCAACATTCATGATTGTATGTACTCTTCATGCCAACGTCACAACAATGCATGTGAAAATAAACGATAGCTTCATACAGCTCGTATTTTCATAGTTGTAGCATAAAGATGTCATTATAAGAATTGTTTGGGTGTTTTTATCTAAATTTTCTGGGGCATATTTTATTATGAGATCACCCCCAGTTTTTGTTGGGGTTCGTGTTGCTTAGTCTTTAGTTTTCTATGTTGTTTCATCTGTACTATTATTTGTCTATTTGTCTTTTTATTTTTGGCCATGGCGTTGTCAGTTTGTTTTCGATCTATGAGTTTGACTGTCCCTCTGGTATCTTTCGTCCCTCTTTTAGTATGTAGCGCTTCGGCGCTTTAAACAAAATGTGCTTCGGTCAATACTTTTACATCCACAATGAAATTACAAAAAAAAAACTCATTCGATTTTTAAATAAATTTTAGTCTGGTCGTGATTGAGTCTTTATGGTCAGATAATTGACCAATAAGATTGAAATTTTTCATAAGCAGTATATATATATATACTTTCACAATTCCTTCACTTACAAAACGCATTCAACACTGTGCATGACGTTGCTGTTTTGAACCTACTACTAAGTACGAACGCTGGTATACGAGTGCAAGCCGTATAGCATGATTTCAATATAAGCAAAAGTAATACTTTGAGCGTGCTTTCAGTAACCGCAAGCTTTATTTTTGTGGTTCTTATCTATTATACATGTATCGTACAGTTAAGTGGTTTGCATATATTGATTCATATTGTACACTTTTCTGTGAAACTTTTATTAGTTCAAGAGTGGAGGGTTGAGGGTTGAAAAAGTAATTTAACTCTTCCATGTGTTTATATGTCTCGGGTATTTACCTTATACAGACGTCGAGACTTTTACCATAACTGATACTTTAATTAAATATCTAACCTATCTCACACATGTAATTTTAAAATTATTATTGATTGAGGTTTTTTCTGGAAAAAGGGAGATATCCCATTCGAATCATGTTATATAACTTACGTGTCGGATCTATCAGGCATACTTATGAAAAGTAAAGTAACAAAAATACCGAACTCCAAGGAAAATTCAAAACGGAAAGTCCCTTATCAAGTGGCAAAATCAAAAGCTCAAACACATCAAACGGATGGAAAGCAACTGTCATATTCCTTATAATGCATTTGTACGTTTGAGTAATTTTGTGGTAAAAGGGAAATAATCCAATTTGAATCATGTTCCATAGGTACCAAATTCTTTACAATTATAATGGCTATATTTGAGTGATTTTATTTCCTTCACACTTCTGTATATGTACATATGTTTGTCCATGCATTGTGTTTGTTTAAATTGTTTGTTTGAACTATAATGCCTCACACGAGGTCTTTAGTGGAATAAAAAGTTTCAAACAAGTTTCAAACGTACGATACGTCAGACAGGTATGAATTAAACTTCTGTTTTATTAATAATTAAAGAGTACTGAAAATACTTATCATGTGGGCATTATCGTGATACATATAGGGTGCCAAAGGGATTGTATTATTGAAAGAAACATTAGTAATAATCGAGCCGCAGGCAAGATCATTATCAATTTCGGTCACTCAGTACTGCAATGTACTAGCTACGGTCCAAAAGGCATTCTTTTATTATGATAATACCCTCTTCGTAAGTAATTGTGTTTATTTCAGTGACAAAAAAATATGCAAGTAGAGGTGACTTTAAAATCACAAGGTGGTATTTATATGGTAATGTCACGTGAATTTTTATAGTGTAAAAAACAGGATGACACATGGCCACGTTTAAACCAAATCTTTACAAGTATCTGATTTCAATTAAATCTAAGTTCACCAACTTAACAATATAATATCTCCTAATATTATGTTAATGCAATATGACAGATTTTGATAATTTAAAACAAGAGTTTCCAAGAATGTACTTTTTAAGAATAAAGTATTATAAACAAGATAACGCCAAAATAGTACTTGTGTTTAGAGTTTCTTACCTATCCTATTCATTTACCTTAAATGCCTACCTATATAAATTTTTTACACCTTTTGCAACGAATCCTTAGAAAATTGCAGATCTCTCCATACAATGAAGGCAAACACAAATAGCAAAATATACATGACATCACTTCTACATACCCTCGTATTCTCGAAAGAAAAACGTCAAATACACATGTATGCATAGTCTGGCCTCTATGCAGGATATTTATTTCATTTAATGACATCGCTTTGTAAGAATACTTATTATGCCATGTATACGATGTTAATATATGAAATAAATAAACTTTATTAATAAAAAAAAATGGAATACCACAACAAGGGACAATTCAAATTTGGATGACTTTGAGGGCGGTTATGATATGTAGATTGTATTAACAAATGACAGAACCGTGGCATTAAATAGACATAAAAAACAAATTTTAAACTGCATTCCATTGAAAATATGTTGGGAGGGATGATTTAACATGAGTAAAAGAGATAAAACTTGAATCAGTAAAAACGAAATTCTAAGATGTTTACCTTTACTTCAGCAACGATAATGATCAAACCTAGTAATCTCAAGAGGATCTTCATTCTAATCAGTTTCTGGAATTAACAAAGATATATAATTTAGAAATTATTTCTATTCTAACCAATGAAATGAAAATACCAGTCCATGAATAATTCCGACGATCGAGTGTTTACTTTTTAGTTTTAACATGTAAACTTACAAAACTAGAATCTATTAATCTGAGTTCTTATAATATAATGTGTCAATCATTCATATATATTTTCATAAAATGGTGCAATATGACTTACAGTGATAATGTCAACGTAAAGTACTACATGTACTGCGTATATATACTTGTTTTAACAGGATCCAACAAGCATGAATATGAATATGTATACGAACTTCCGATATATAATATATATATATATATATATACATTCTATGAATTTCTCGAAATTTCTACTTTTTTCTGAAAATATTCAAAATCTAACCAACTTATGTTAGGTTAGATAAATAGTGTAAATTAAAACTTTAAAATAGATACGTAACTGAGTGTATCATTTTCAAAATCGCTTCTGGTTACTTTTTTTTTAATTTATCCATATCATTAATTATTTAATTTATCTATGTGGAATGAAACAAAAATAAAAGAAAGTTTCATCATTTAGAAAATGAAAAGTCATGCAGTATTGCAAGGTTCTAATTAAAGAACACGTGACATTAGATGGTTTTATTTATATATCTCTTCAAACCTTATATATTTACAAATATATAAAACTAGAGGAAATAAAACGATACTTCTCGTTGAAAAGAATAGTAAAACTTAAAACGAAAAATGTTAAAAAAGTAAAAACCTTACCTGAAGACCTTAAATCACCAATCCCGTCCGTAATAGAGTATTTCAACATTACGGAAATACCCATTTTTAAAAATAGTACATTTTTTTTTTATCTCGACAGGGTTCAAGTAGCTATAGTAATGAACCATATCTTGAATGTGTATCCATATCTTTTCAATTGTCTGGCACTTAAAAAGTTGCCTAAATAAGTTTGTCTACCTCTTCTTTTCTGTACTTGCATTTTCATTCGATTGGATTTCTAATTTTATAAATAGATCATTACAAAACAAATTACCGCCCCTCCTCTCAATCATAATATTATTAGTTCGTTATACAGTCAGTCAGTCTTTACAATAATTAGTATAAATTTACGCAGTATGTAAGTAATATGTTTACGATTTGTGTGACAGATTCGATTCGTATTAGCTAGGTATTGTAACATTAAATTACTATATTTGCATCGTTAATTATGAGTTGAATTATTATATTTGATATTCTAAAAAATAGCTGATGGTATTTCAATCATTATTGTTCAATATGTGATTCATTTTTTATTATCCTTTTGATAAACGTCTTTTCGGTGTTGTCATAATGACTGTATCTATTCAAGATTTATTTGAGTGTGGACGATGCGTACCGTAAGTAATATTAAAAGTATTGGTTACAGCATTTTAATAAATACTAGACTCGTATATAAAAATCCTTCCGTAAAAATATCTGAGATATTATATTATAAGAACTAAGATAGAGGGATTATAATTCCATAAGTTTACATGTGAATACACAATTAAGAAGTAATTCTTTCGCTGGTAAAATTGTCAATATTTTCTATATTGTTTATACTTGTTAATTCCAGAAACTTATCTGAAGGAGGATCTACTTGAGATTACTAAGTTTGATCCTTATTGTTGCTGATGAAAGATAAACATCATTAACCGTTTCTTATGTTATCTCAGTTAATCGCCCACTCGACACCATATTTTCAGTGCAGTGCTGATTGATAATTGTGCTACGTACTTTCGTCTGACTAATCATTTGGTTCTGTTGTTTGTTTATTAGACGAACCTATGTATCAAAATGCCTTCATTCTTATCAAAATTTGCAAGAATAGAATTTTTGCATGTTGTCGACAATATGATATTATAACTACAATTGTTATTGCTAATTATTCGGGTTCTTGTATTGTCCATTGCTTATGTTGCTGTGGTGTTCCATTTTATAATCATATCATTTATCATCATCGTATACACAGTATATTAAGTATTCTTATAACAATGATGTCATTAAAAGTAAACTGAAGAACTGACTGAAATGGACTATTTCGATTTCTAGACAAAACTTTGTGCCTCAATTCTGGGTCGAAAATTTCAGTTTTCTCTATAGACTGTGCTATGAAGTAGTTGGACGTCACAACAGTCTCTCGGTCCTAACGAATTCACCGACAAAACAGGGCGTCGGACGTCTTATATCATGGCATGATTAATTACAGTTTTTAAAACCTTTAGTTTTCATCAATGTCCAATTTGAAAGTATTTTAGTATTAAAAAAATTCTAACAAATACATATTCTTGTCTTATTGAAATTGTCCTGTATCTTTATTCTGTTTTATCTTATTTTTAAAAAATTTTGTGTTTATTTCCTCGTGTAATGAAAGTCTTAGTTATTGAGTGAATCTATCAAATATACACGTAAATCAAAACCAATTGGTATAAAGTCCCTAAAAAAATAGATTTTACTAACACAATGATGTAAGCATTATTTAAGCAGCATAAAATACTTTAAGCGCAACAATAAACCTATTTTCCTATACATGAGAGAAAAAACTTCTCAAAGTTACAAGACAACATGATATGTTTAGATATGATATATTATCATAAAATAGGTCCATATATTAAAGCAAGAATATAAGTTCGATACGAAGCATGCTACTTGAGTCACTAGAGAATTAACAAAACTTGTGAATATTTTATAAATATATATAAGAATTTATCACAAAATCAGTGTTATATAAAGTCATTGTGATCTGGGGCTAATACCGGTACATGAATCGGTCCTATCTATGGGTCATAGGTGCGATGCATGTAGCATCTGCATAGTGTGCAAGGTCTATCTTACTGTTTAAGTGTTATGAAGTGTAGTTTAAATTTGGCTGTATCTATATTCCAGCTTATACTTTTGCTTTGTTTCTATTAAGATTACGGTCCATATACAATGAAGTTCATCAGACGATATAATTTCACAATTCTTATTTGATCAATTAATTTCATTAATTTTCATTTAATAGTACATTTATCTTCAAAAATATTGTGTAACATATATATTTCAGATTGTATTTTTTTTATTTCTGAATTTTCCTCATCACTTTTCATATTTCTATATTGGATCTTTTATTTTATTCTCTGCAATGCAAACATTTGTTTAATCTTTAAAATCATAATTCCTCATAAATAAGTAAACAAATGGTGCACTTATTTACCTGTACATCAATTAGATTTAAATTGCTAAAACAGCAAATTACTTTATAACAACACCTAGTGTACTTTGTTTGTAGGAACAGAAGAAATCCGTATTTTAAAATGTAGGAATAGCAGGAAGACACCACCGAAAACATAGTCTTAAAAAATCTATAAATAAACTCATCATAGATACCATGATAAAAATTTTGTACGCCAGACTCTTATTTCGTCTTCAAAAGACTCATCAGTGACGCTCGAATCAAACAAGTTAAAAAAGCAAAATAAAGAACGAAGTTGAAGAGCGTTGAGGACTCAAAATTCCGAAAGGTTTTGCCAAATACAGCTAAGGTAATATAGATATATACCTTACTATTCTTTAAAACGTTTTATTAGCACATCTTTGACATTTTGATAACAATTTCCATAGTTTATCAAGGATTTGATACGTACCCGATATTTGTACAATCTTTTACTGATTTATTCCGTCATTTTCTTGAACAGGAGACATTGTTAAAGAGTTGATCGAATAACAGTTTTTTTTTTCTCTCCTCATTATACTTGTATTTTAATTGTTTTGATTTTTTGTTCATATTATTCTGACTGTTATTCGTGATATCACTTTTTCACTATTTTTCATTTCTTTTATTATAGTTCATTGTTCGTAATCAACTTATATTGATTGAGTTATTTTTGCTTGCTAAACGTATTACATGTACATTGACAGTTTCATTTCATTTTCTTTGTTCATCTGTTTTTGTATGATTTCGTGATGTGCTTTTCTTATCAATTTTTCCATATGCGATATTCTTGAGGTTTTTTTTTTTATTTCAGATTTAGTTTTTCTGTTATTTTATTATCATATTTTTTCCTGTATTCATGATTCGATTTTTGGTTTCCATTTCATTGTGTGTCTTTTCCCTTTTGTGCTTTAATTTCGTTTTAATTCATTGTATTCACATTTCCTCCTCTTTGCTGTGTTTATCATATTGCTTTTATATAAGTAACAGGCTGAAACAAATTTTGAAAATGAGAATTTTTTTCTCGGTGTGAGTTTTGGAGAACTTATTCGAATAGATTGGTTTAGAGTTTATATAACCGGGAAAAAGTGACGTTGAGGAACTTTTTGTAAGAATTCAAAAAGGGTTTAAATATTCGCATCACTATGGTTTTAAATTGTATATCAATGTATTTCAAATGTGTCTTTACATTTTAAATGCCGAATTCGATTATTGATTTCAAGGATTAACAACTTAATCCAATGTCACTTAAAAGTGCGAAAGACAGTATTATTATACGTGTCATCTTCAAAGAAGCAATTATCGCTTTTTCACGAAGGTTGGTCTGAGGACACTATTCCGTTTATTTCTTGTATAATATTGGACAATAATGATATATATTTTTTAAAGAACACTTGCCTATTAGTTTTTAAGAAATGAACAATTTAGTTAACAGTTGCGAAGGCAGTCTTATCCTGTATTTCAAACTGTAAACATGTTTATATGAATTTGTATTATATATTGAAAACGGTCGGTCTTGCGTTTAAAGCAGCCACGGTGTCAATTATAGACCAAACAGACTTTAACGTAACCCACAAATTTAAGGCGTTATATTTACCAAAAACTCAAAAGTAAGCTAAATACTTCAGTCTATTCAATAAAATTTCAGATTTGTTTATCATTCCGTAAACTTATGTATCAAATACGACAAATATTGTTTCTTTCTTTTCTCTTTCATCGTTATTTTATTAATCGAGATAGTTTAATTGAGGGTACGATTTTACTAAGGATTTGTATACTATATAAATTCTTGGTTTTACGTTGCATGACGTGTAATTAAATAAAGGCAACAGTAGTATACCAGTGTTCAAAAGTCATAAATCGATTGAGAGGAAACAAATCCGGGTTACAAACTAAGTCTGAAATAATTCAACTTAAACGCTGAATGGTCATTGTACAAAGATTTTCGAAAGAATAGTTTATAATCAGTGGGGTCGTGTCGTCTATGCAGTGCAACTATTTTTATCCTATATCTTTTTTTTTTCTCCGTGTACTGATTATGGTGATTCCCATTTTTGTCGTTGCTCGTATTTTCTTTTTCACAATTTTTCAGGTTTGCTTTCATTTTCTCTTGCCAAATGCCTGAATCTAATCATCGGGATATCCCCATGCCAAGTGCCTGAATCTAATCATCGGGATATCCTTAGTTACTGTCTGCTTTAATTATTTGTTGGGATTTGCTCATCGTTGAAGGCCGTATGGTGACCTGTAATTTTGTCACACTAGTATCTTTGTCCTTTTAATGGATAGTTATCTTTATTGTTAATCGTACCACATATCTCTATCTTTTAAAACAATCGGTGGTAACGGGTCGTGTTAAATTGAAGTTGACATTTGACTCTTGTAAAACCCTAATACATCACTATTAATTCAGAAGTCATATTTGAATATGTGAAAGTACTAGTTTGATATGGAAATTTTCAGGACAAAGAATGGAAAACACCTCGACTTATAATCAACAAATATATTGAGTAAATATCACAAAATACCAGAAACAAAAACAAAAATAAAATTGAGAAGAACTAATAACGAGGAGCAGCGGAAAGCAACTCTTTGTAAAACAGAATATTACAATATAATATATTTAATATTGGGTTGTTAAGTCGTCTAATAACAAACAAAACATTTAAACATTTAAAAACATGTGTTTAATGTTTGACTGAACAAATTACATTGAATACTGAGAAGCAGCTGCTGACAGTTATTACAAAACTCATATACTTTACTGAGTTAGGTTGTCAGCCAGCTATATGTGTCTGGATTGAATCTGTTGGAAGGACTTCATTAAACATCAACAGTTATTCAGGTGACAAGAGCGTCCATTCTGTAGTATCTTATTTGTGATCAGTAACTTTAAAACATGTATTTGTAAATATATATATATATCCTCATTGATGGAGATGACGGCAAGCTATAGT